CAATCCAAGACGGGCGCGCAACGGCAGTCGCTCCTCACAGCACAAGAGAAGACACAGGCAGATGCCAACCCCCGGCGTCAGCGCTCTGAATTTGCGCGCAATGCGGCCGACGTCGCACGGGGTGTTGCGAGCACCATGCAGAAGCTCGAGCGCCTTTCACAGCTGGCCAAGCGCAAGACGCTGTTTGACGATCGGCCAGTTGAGTTTGACGAGCTCACCTTTGTCATCAAGCAGGACATGACTGCACTGTCAGGCCAGGTGCGGGCACTGCAGCAGATGAACTCGAAGCAACACCCCAAGGCGAAACCCGGTGTGGACCAAGAAGGAGAGCACAACGGCCAAGTCGTCAAGCTGTTGTCCGACAAACTAACCAACGTGGGGACCAACTTCAAGGACGTTTTGGAGGTGCGAACAAAGAACATGCAGGCATCGCGATCCCGCACGGAGCAATTCCTGTCAACAGCTGCGCAGCAATCCCACAGCAACCTCGAGCCCGGCCGGACAGATTCTCCACTTTACCAAACACCCCAGCGAGGTCGATCACCAGGAGGCTTCGCCCGGAATACCAATGCAGCGCAGCAAGACCTGCTCTCGCTCGAACCTTCTGGGTCGTCAGCTCTGACGCGAGGCGCACCGCAATCGGACGCACAACTACTGCTCATGGAAGAGGCCCAGCCCCAGAACGCATACATTCAAGAGAGGGGGCGAGCAATTGAGTCGATAGAGTCTACTATTCAAGAACTAGGAGGCATCTTCAGCCAGCTCGCCCAGATGGTGTCCGAACAAGGAGAACAGATCCAGCGCATTGACGCCAACACCGAAGACGTTGTAGACAACGTCGAGGGTGCCCAGCGTGAGCTGATGAAGTACTGGAGCCGCGTGCAAGGCAACAGGTGGCTTGTCGCAAAGATGTTTGGTGTGCTGATGATTTGTACGTATACCCGCACACTCGTACATTGACAACATACTAACAAGTCTTAGTTTTCTTGCTCTGGGTCCTTATCTCTGGGTAGATTTGCGCTTCATGGCTACGGCATTTTCAGGCGTTTCTACCAGCTCGGTCTGGCATCGAACTGGACGAGCAGCCATTGCATACGAGGCTGCGCACTTCTCACATGTATCTATATATATTTCTTTTGTCGCATGTTTCACTTTTGGGCCTGGCTTATGATCACCATTACGTCATATGAGCGAGCCGTTATAAGCTACTATTAATGAATTCAACCCGTCTTTTCACTTGCGACATCAGGACGATTTGCTGGGTGTGGAAGGCTTCCCGGTAGCTCGGTCCATGTCTGTTGTGTACTGTACCATATTTGCTTGCGTGCCTTGGCTGAATATGTACAACATGCGATTTGGTAGTCGCTTAGGACAGTAGAGTAGTGCCCATCACGAAGCTTGCAATACAAATGCGTGTACTCTGGGTCAAATTCGTACACTCAGGTGGAGCATGCGCCAACGACCACCACCTGCGTCATCAAGGCGGCCGTGTGATCGACGACTACAGGCTGAAACCAAATTGGACAGTTGTGCGTATCCGACCGCTTCTTATTCTCGATAGCCCCTGCGCAGTATCACCAACGTCGCAACCGAATTATCATCTTCACATGCTCCAGGATGACCCCGACACGGACGGCTACCATCTAGGTGGAACATCAGAACATCGGAAATCATGGCAACTAAGCGGCAATGCCGAAGCTATCCTCCAACCACCTAGTGGGCTCCCGGCACAGTATTCCGGCTACACCACTACGAGTCGTAGATGGAGAACTGACAGGCGCCGAACTATGCACGTCATCGCCATGACAGCCGAAGTGATATCAACGGTACTTAGTTCGTCACTAAGCGGGCCTGATTGGCGGCGCGAAACATGTAAAGTGCGACATGACGAAAAGGACGGCGCAACGTCGGTCGGATAGCCGCGTTCGACGGGCGCGCGCAAACTCATTAGCGGGCCATGGACAGATGTCATATCGGTGTTTGGCGGGTGGGATGGCTTGCAGGCGACATGCTGAATGCAGCATCAGCAGATGATCCACCTGCTGCAGAGTGGGCGTGTGGGCGCCCGTCTTCCATGCTCTAGCGCCCACTCCTTCCATCCGTATGTGAACCACACTTCCAAGGTTCTCACACCGTCGTGCGTCCTCGACACCTGACCCGCCCTCTGTTTGCTGCACCCCTCTGTTAGTCGCCCAAGCTTGTGTGCCGCCCTCCCAACGGTGCCGCCTGTCCTGCGCAAGAAGAGACTACCCTTGCGCCGCTCGCATGTCTTGGTAGCGACCTCTTGACATCAGTCAACAGCCAAGTGCATGCGCGCTCCGGCGCAATGCCTGACCGTATATGGGACGAAACCGTTGCGCTCGGCACGGCTCCCATATTCGACGATGCTATATATCTGGCCGAAGCCTTGGGTCTGCCTATGAATCAGAATGAGGACCATCTCGACGCCGACGTGGCGCTGCTTGCTCGCGAATCTGGTGTCCCCGATTCTTATCGTTTCGTACCCCCGCCAGAAACCATCTCTCGCGCAATCTCGACTATGACGCTGGATAGCGATCAGAGAAGTTCCAGATCAATTCACTCTCAAGAAACGCAGTCAACAAGCTTCACATCCGCGCCTTCCCGAACTTCCAGAGACCTCATTTTCTCCACTGACGGCTCAACCACAAGAAGGGCACCTCCAGCACGCTCACAGATTACGTCACCTGTTGAGAAGTCTCGAGACTTTGTTGACCGTCCCGAATCTGATTTCCAGTCAAGACAATCATCGACACTGTCCATCACACCTTCCGCCATCTCCAGCTCAGCCTCGTCACAGCAAGCGCAACCAAGGAAGAAACGGGGCTCCGTCATTTTCTCCATGTTCAGAAGGGATTCAGGGTACGTTATGGACAGTGACTTATGACAGCTTCCTACTAAGTCTTTTTAGTAGTACTTGCACCACGTCCGCGCCGCACCACGGATATCACAGCAGGCCTCGAGGCGCAAAGCTGGTATGCGGTCACATATCGTCTGACGCCGACGTTCGCGCACATATACAAGAGTCATTAAAGAGAGGCGCACACGTAGCGCCCGATTGCTGTGGAAGCGCATTACCGCAATCCATTCTGGAGCGCGTCCCAGCAAAAGACGACCCGAGGCTCGCTATGGAGACTGCTACCGAGCTGCCTGAGCCTCTTTCCCGTGACTCTGACTATTGCGAAATTGTTACCTCAACTGCTGACAGTTCCCATCCCATAATTGACTCTCTAGTTTCAGACATTTCCTCCGCTTTGCCACAATCTCCAATGAGGCGCACCCGACACGAGGCGATCAGCATCGGCTTGGCGTTAGCTAAAGAGGCTTTCGCAAGTTACAGGACACAACAGAAGGAAGAGCTTGCACGTGTCTCGCTGTTCGAGTGCAGCCAAAGAAAAGCCTTGTCAGCGTACCAATATTGTTCAATGCAACAATTGGGAGAACAGCTTGAGATTGATAAGAACGAACGGATCGGACAGGTAGGTATAATTCGTGTTGATGTGATATACGTCAGCTGACTCAAGCGATGTAGCACAATGAGGACCTGGAGCGATTAGAAGAACGACAACTTCTCGCTGAACACGACCTGTTGAAAGCACAAGCTCAAGAGACACAGAACGTAGCGACAGCCCTAAAGTATATTGAGGCGTATTGCCTACGTACGAGAAGCAACCAAGAGCGTGTGCATGCTGTGTCGGAGGAAGACTTGAAGAAGCTGGACCACCAAAGATTGATCCAACAGGATCTTCCCAGACGACACGCGAGTGCAATCAACGTCTTACGAGCAAGGCAAGAGATGGACACCGCACGAAGACTAGAAGCACAAGAAGCAGAGCTACAGCAATTAGGCATTGAGCACGAGAAAAGGAAGTTTGCAAAAGAAGCGGAATATCACAAGGAGCTGGCAAGGCTTGAAACCGTTATCGAATTAAGAAGAAAGAGGCTTCTACAAAGGTGGGATCTCAGGTTTGAAATATGGCGACGTGACTGGGAAGCGCAGCACGACACGACTCTGACGGTAGAACTCGAACACGAAGACTGGCCACCTCGCAAAGCAGATCACACGATTTCCATACCTGAAGCAAGTTTGCTAGCTCAGTACATCAAGGCTGCGGCATGATGCGACGGCCTTGGCTGCTCTTGATTTCTGAAACATCGCACCTCCCGTCTGTGCGATATCTGTTCGTCCCATTGACATCGATTTGGGCAGCACCACCATTTTCGTCAGCATCTTACAGCGTAGCGAGGCGTTTACTTGAACACAAATGCTCAGACGCACAGTCATTCTCCATCCTTTGCGGCATCGGCGGGTTTCCATCTTCGCGACTTTATACCCTTTTTGTACCTTTGCAAAGACGCATTTTCTTCACACGGTTTTTAGATGTTGTTAAAACGGGAAATGCTCCGCTTATATGTAACAGACCAATCTTTTTTGATTGGATAACTAGTTATACGTTATATTGTAATGAGATAGTTTACAATGAAGTCTGCAGCCACTGAACCCACCGTCTCTGGAAAGCCAAAATAGAAATGTAACGATACTCCCATAGATCTGGTCTGACCCAGGCGCCCACACTAGAATAAGGTCTCTGCTAATACAATCTCATCGACTAGTGAACCATAGCTTTGGGCGTGAAGAAAAGGTGTGGCAGACTAGGACTAGCAGCCCGATCGCCTGGATCCTACGGAGCTTTTCCCCGCCCCTACGGCGATCGAGTAGCGACCGAACGCCGTTCGCTAGAATCGACGGCTTGGCATGATTGACAGGCCGAATGGGGAAGTTTGCGATCTGGGGTTCATGGCAGGAGTATCGGACGCTCCCGTATTTGACATGATTTAATTACTATTTGGGTATCTTGCTAACTCGTGAAACTCGTGAAACTCGTGAAAACATCATTGACGGCCATCACATCGGGCATGGGAAAACCTCCACCAACTTCCACAGACGATTGCATTCGGCAGCTCTGACAGGCATCGCTGTCTCAGCCACGAGAGAGATCGCTGTTGTACTGCTCAACGGGGGCTAGCATGTCCCATTGTAAACTCTCTCGGGCGTCCGTGGCTGGTGGCAGGTGACCCAACCCCATCGCCATGTCCATCTCAGCGTCATCCTTTATGAGTGAGAGCTGGTCGAATTGCTGATCGAATAAAGCATTTTGCCCATCCATGCTCTTCAAGTCAGAATATGGTAGCATCGGCATGTTGCTCTCCATGAGGTATGGAGCAGGCGTCTCTGGGATGCTGGGCGTAGCAGAGTCGAACATGCTCATTGAGTCGTCGAACCCACCAATCCAGAACTGCCCTCCACTGACAGCATCGCGCTCCTGTATCATGTCTTCGATCTCGTCCTCGGGAATATAATGCTCTGCGAGCAGATGACGGCGTAAATCACGGTCCATGTAGAAGCGGTACTCGCACGTCTTCACCAAACAGGGCACCTCGCGGCCTTGCTCATAGCCAACACCGGTAAGCATGGTAAGCATCGAAGGCTCCGGCTTCTTCTTTGACTTTGCGGCCTTCCGGAGCTGCTTGCGGTTGCCGAGACCAAGATGATTTTTCCGAACATGCTGATCGAGAGACGACTTGGCCTTGAAGGAGGCGCCACAGGCATTCTCTCCGTTCCAGGCTTGGAGATCTGGGTGTTTTGAATTCTGCAGAGCATCGGGGGTACATGAGTACCTGAACTGCTTGTCGTGGACCGTCTGAATGTGAACAGTGAGGTTGTGTTTCCGGTTGAAGACACTCTCACAGCCTAGTCTGGGACAAGGGAACTGCGTTTGTTCTTGTGGGTGCCCATGGACGGTGTCGAAGTGTGTCTTGAGATTGGATGCAGTCTTGAACTTCTGACCGCACTGTGTACATATAGGTGGGTGACACTCGGCTGTGTGCACGTTCAGCTCGTCTTTTGTCGCGAAAGACGGTAAGTGTGGCGGGATGGTGGATGTGTCAACAGACTCGCTCTGCATTGTGTCCGCGTCTACTCCAGCCGTCGCACACAGCATGCAGAAGTGGCCCTGCCCTTGTATGTCTGCATGTGTCTTGCCCATATGCCGTTGTAATGCGCCCTCAGTCTGAAAGCCACTCGCGCATTTCTCGCCGGTCTCTTGGTCCACGTGAGAACAAGTGAAGGGCTTGACGTCCATGTGCTGGATCTTGACATGTGCCTCCAACGCCTTCGCCTTCCTAAAAGCCTCGTTGCACGGGGGGAAGTCGGTACAGTAGAATTTGGACTCGTGGACGTCTCTGTGCCTCTGGAGCCTGCCGTTGGAGGTGAAACTCTTGCCACACCCGGTCCAATCGCATGTGAATGTCCGCTCGGTCGCAGGGTCGCTATGGGCGTTCTTGAGGTGACGCTGTAAGTGGTCTTTACGAGGGAACGTCTTGTTGCAGCCGGGCTCGGTACAGATAAATGGTCGCTCCTTGTTGTGGCTTCGCATGTGTGTCTCGAGGCGACATGGTCGGTTGAAGCGTTGCGAGCAGGTTGGGCAGACGTAGTTCCATTGGCGACGGGCCTCGCTCTCTGCCCTCAAAGTGCCGTTGTCGGTGAAATTGACCTTGTAATCAGCAGAGTCGTCTGTCGCATAGTCCTGGTCGGGTGTGTCCTCCGCAACACCTCCGAGAATGTTAGCCTTCAGGATCGACGTCACGGTGCTCGGGGTTACGGTACTGTTGCGAGACCTCTTCTGCGGCGCCACACCAGCGTCTTCGGTGTTTCTCCGCTTCGGCGCCATAGTATTGCATACAACGTGCGCGTGGTTGCAAGGCGGCTCGTGGATGCGCAGAACCATGGACGAAAGTCGAGCTCCACTGTATTTTGCGACCGCCAAGATTTCCCACGCTAGTGCAGACGCCGACCCCTGCGATTTCTGATCGCGAACTTTCTTTGCCAGTCGCATCGCACCAGGCATACACCCCATACTCCACGCGTACCTCTCCATCTCTCGGCATCCCTTCCAGAGACACGCACGCGCGTAGAAACCTGCTGCAAACATGTCCGACTATGGCGGTGACGACTACGACGGCGGCGCCGGTGACATGTACGTTCAGCTCCATCTCTGGGTTTCCTCCACCGGGCGCATCAGCTAGGGGAACGGTAGGAGACAGTCCCGCCGATTCTAACTTCAGTAGTGACGAGCCCCTCATCGAGTTCGACGAAGAGGCCGAGCCTGATCTGATGGACGACGAAGACGACCAGCCTGGCGGCGGTGAAGACCCAGACAATGCCGAACCCAACGACGACAACGTAGTAGTATCTGGCGATGCCAACGCGGCAGCTGCTGCCAAGGAAGCCTCCAAGAACACAGTCACAAGCGAAAAGGACAAGAAGGTTCCGAACGACAAGCGCACAACCACCCCATACATGACAAAGTACGAGAAGGCACGCGTCTTGGGCACAAGAGCACTTCAGATCAGGTAGACTACCTTCAGAGGGAGGGTGTATGTACAAGGACTAATGAGATTGCAGTGGTAACGCTCCCGTGCTGATCGACGTAGAGGGAATGACGGACCCTCTGCAAATTGCTGCGAAAGAGCTCCAAGAGAAGAAGATTCCCCTTGTTGTACGGCGGTACCTCCCCGATGGTTTCTACGAGGACTGGACTTGCGAAGAGCTTCTGACATGAAGCGTGGTGTGGCTGATTGCATTTGCTATGGAGTTTTGTTTGGCTAAATATGGGGTATTTCGGCGAAAGGAGTCTCTGAGTGGTTGCGCAATTATATCCCGAGTCTCACCCGATCTCCGTTAATTCCAAGCCTTGTCCGTTGCCTGTGCGGATCCGCGGATAAGATTTCTGTAACAAGCCAAAAGTCTAGAGGGAGGTGGGGTAGCTCGACATAGCTATTCGTCCCCCGCACTAATTTCAGGCACAACGTCACTCAATGCGCCTGCTCACAAAACTTCCAAGGGCCCCTCGACCTGCGTTTGCATTCCAACCTCCTACTGTTCGTTTCTCTCGCTATACCACATTGTCCAAGATGTCTTTCGAAACCACAGGCACCATCGCATCCTTCGGCGGCAAGCTTCTCAAGTTGAAGCACAAGTCCTCAAGCACAAACACCGACATGGAGCTGAACGTGTTCCTGCCTCCACAAGCACTCAAGTCCGGCGCCAAGGTCCCAGTTCTCTTCTACCTTTCCGGCCTCACATGCACCGGCAATAACTGCTCAGAAAAGGGGTTTTTCCAGCACGGCGCAGCCAAACATGGCATCGCTGTCGTGTACCCTGATACTTCACCGAGTGCGTGCCTACCGTGAGACTATACGCGGAGCATTTGACTAACCCACTCACTAGGGGGCTTACAGATCGAAGGTGAAGACGAGTCATACGACTTCGGGTCAGGCGCAGGTTTCTACGTCGATGCCACCAAGGAGCCATGGTCAAAGGGCTACAACATGTACTCATACATCACCAAAGAGCTCCCCGAAGCGCTGTTCTCGTCTTTCAAAGAGCTAGATTCCAGCAAAGTCAGCATCACAGGGCACAGCATGGGTGGACACGGCGCATTGACACTGGTTGGTCAGCTGCTTGCATACCAGGAGGACTAGACTGACCACCATCGATAGTTCCTCAAGAACCCCGGCATGTACAAGTCTGTCTCTGCATTCGCACCCATCGCCAACCCCATCAACTGCCCATGGGGCCAAAAAGCTTTCAAGGGATACTTTGGCGAGGACCAGCAACAAAAGTGGAAGGAGCATGATGCGTCAGAGCTGGTCAAGCAATGGAAGGGTCCTCTTGAGATGCTCATCGATGTGGTGCGTATCATATGCGACAGTCTTGTGTCGTTTTACTAACTGAGCTAGGGCACTGGAGACAACTTCTACAAGCAAGGCCAGCTTCTACCGGAGAACTTCGTCAAGGCAGCCAAGGAAGCTGGCAATGACAAGGGCATTCAACTGCGCATGCAGCCCGATTACGATCACAGCTACTACTTCATGGCCACATTTGCTGACGATCACGTCGAGTGGGCGGCGAAGCATCTAGGCGCATAGTAAGTAGACGTGACACCGATTGTAATAGCAGTCTGCTCACTACTACAGAAGCGGCTCGTGTATCAGAGAGAAACTATAGAACCTAATAGAATCCGTACACATCTGGAAAGACTTGACTACTCATTCGTGATTTATTGGGTTGATCAACTTTTTGCACGTGAACACCGAATTGTATCTCAGCTCTTGCCGCCGTGAATTCGCCATAGAGTGCGGGCTTCAAATATATAAGCATGATAGAGGGACGACTGCGTTGCTGGCTCTCCATATGGGGACTCTCATACACGATTAAAACTTCAGCAATGCGCGTGGCGGTGTCGAAACCAAAATCTCGTGCGCACGTGTCACACGGTCAAATTGGGCGCGAGAACATCCCACCAGGCCCGGGCTTGGCGCTGCCACTTCAGTCATTGCACAGCTGTTTTCGGCCTCGACGCCTCGACGAAGACGGAGAACAACTTTTGCTTTTTCCAGTCGGTACCCTAATCGCCTGGCACATAGACCCTGAGCTCTGGTCATTGTTTCTTTCACGCACGAACCCTTGCACACGCCGTACGTCAGCCCCTCGTGCCCCGCCTCTGCCTACACCGCTGTAACGCTTTCGTGATGCAGTCTTCCACAGTTTGCTCCATGGTCCGGTAGCATACCAATCCGCTCATAGTTCCTACCCCACCACGTCCGATGTACAATCTATAGGGCAGACCACACCGACTCAACCTGTGACTCAACCCTGCTTGCTCAGCTTTGACAACACGAGGAAATGGAGGGCCAGGTACGTACCATTGTTTGCCCGATCCATGAAGCATATACTCACACTCCATGTCAAAGGTCGAAAATGCCATCCAGATCGCCGCAAATCCGACGTCGAGCCAGGAGCTGCGCGGTCAGGCTATCGAATACCTGAACCAGCTCCGTGCCGAAGGCTCCGCATGGCAAGCTGCCCTCACACTCTTCGCGCGCGACCCTCGTCCCACCGACTTTGTCCGCCATACGTCGCTCGACCTTGTGAACAACGCGATCCAAGAACATCGCCTCGATGAGCAGAGTCTTGCGTACATCAAGGACACCCTCATGGGCCATATCCACCGATCCTACGTCCCGGGCAGTGGAGCTGCAGACACAAGCCATATCCAGAACAAGCTGATGCAGACTGTCACTTATCTCTTCGTAGCTCTATACCCTTCCTCATGGCAGTCCTTCTTCGACGATTTCCGTGCCTTGGCTGGCGACCAGTCTACCATCGGAAACGTCAATACAGCCACGACGTTGCTATACCTTCGCATGCTCGGTCAAGTGCACGACGAAATCGCTGACCAGTTGGTCGCCCGCCCAGAGGACGAGAAGAAGCGCAACACAGAGCTGAAAGACCTCATCCGGCAACGGGACGCGCAGAAGATCTCGTTATCTTGGCAAGAAATACTCGCGAAGTGGAGGGAGACAGACCTGAATCTTGTGAAGATGTGCCTGGAGACTATCGGGCGCTGGGTTAGTTGGACCGACATCAACTTGATTGTCAACCAAGCCATGATCACAACTTTCCTGGAAATGGCGGGCCAACAAGGAATCGCTGATCCCGAGAGCGCTGCTGGAAAGGTGCGCGATGCGGCAATCGATACATTCTCAGAGATCGTCGGGAAGAAGATGAGCCCATCGGATAAGATTGAATTAATCACTTTCCTAAATCTTTCCGAAGTCGTCGGCCAGCTGATCAGCAGCCCAGCTCTGGCCGATTTCAACAGCTCGAACTACGACAACGACCTCGCCGAGACTGTCGCTAAGCTCGTGAACAACATCGTATTCGATATCGTAAAGATACTAGAGAACGAGGCTGTCGAGGAGCATGTTCGGCAACGCGCAGACGATCTCATTCGCATCTTCACGCCTTACCTTTTACGTTTCTTCGCTGACCAATACGACGAGGTCTGCTCGACTGTCATCCCATCTCTTACAGATCTTCTTACGTTCCTCCGCAAATTGCAAAAGAAGTCTGGATCGATACCTCCACAATACGCCGCAGTATTACCACCCGTTCTAGATGCGATCATTGCAAAAATGAAGTACGACGAGACAGCCTCATGGGGTGAGGAAGGCGAACAGACAGACGAAGCAGAGTTCCTCGATCTCCGCAGACGCCTCCACGTCCTGCAACAAACAGTAACCGCCATCGATGAGCCTTACTACATCGAGACACTCAGTCGCTTAGTCAACGGAACCTTTGGACGCCTATCTCAAGGCGATCAATCCCTGAACTGGCGCGACCTCGAATTGGCTCTGTATGAGATGTATCTATTTGGAGAACTTGCAGTCAGAAACCAGGGACTGTATGCGAAACGCGAGCCCTCATCGGCTGCAGCTCAGCAACTCGTGAATATGATGAACAGCATGGTCGAATCTGGTCTAGCAAGCTACCCGCACCCTGCTGTTCAACTGCAGTATATGGAGATATGCGTACGCTACTATCAGTTCTTCGAGCAGAATCCTGGCCTTATCCCCAAGGTACTCGAGAATTTTGTCAACCTTACCCATAGCAACCATGTCAAGGTCCGCTCGCGATCCTGGTATCTTTTTCAACGCTTAGTCAAGCATCTACGGGCCCAACTGGGCAACGTCTCCTACGACATCATTCAAGCGGTTGGAGACTTGCTTGCCATCAAAGCTGAGCTACCAGATACTTCAGAAGATGAGATGTCGTCCGATGAAGAGGATCAGTCGGCGGATGCGCTGTTCGACTCGCAGCTGTACCTTTTCGAAGCCGTGGGCTGCATAGCTTCGTCCAACACCGTCTCCGCGGAGAACAAGA